GCAGTGCCTGCACCACATGGTTGGCAACCTGGGGACAGAAAACCCAAGGCAGACAGGAACCAGCAGTTAGCGTAATGGCTATGTCGTTGGACTCCCACGTAGTCGACCACGGTTCGCATCCCGGACCCAGTGGCTTAGAACTCACGCCGGGCACATGTGCATGTGTACCCAAGATCCCGAGAGGAGAATGGAGAAGGGATTGCGGCATGGCCATCCCCCCCTGGGGGGTGATTTCTCGCTTTCTGTCTCTATGTCTCTCTCTGTCTGGTGAGCGCATGCACCCTATAGAGAAAACCTCTCCAAAAAAAAAAAAAAAAAGGAAAAGAAAACCCAAGGCAGAGCTGTCAGCTGACCCAACTTCTGCGGGAGGCAGACAAGCAGACCCACCCTGGGGACTGATGCTGGGGACAGCATCAGTCCCACTGCAGACCCCACTGACCTCGTCTAGGCAGCGCTCATACGTCTCCCGCTGGTTTTCATTGGCCTGGGCAAGTGCTGAGTTCTCTGCCTGCAGAAGTGAGAGGGTTACAGGGCAAAAGGGGGGCTGCGGGGACCACTCTTCTTCCGGGCAAGTTTCTCTTGGGGAAGGGGAGGCAAGCTCTTGGCTGAGCTCGGGTCCTCACTTGGGGAGCTCTGCAGAGACAGACCACAGGCAGCGAGAGGAAGGGCTGAGTTGGTGTCTACAACCCCAACCTCAGTCAGTGAAGCTGCAGGTGGCAGGTGCTGGGGAGACACAGTGGCTAGGAGGACCTGAGGTAGGGGGTGGGCAGAGAGGGCTGCAGAGAGGAGGAGAGGGCCTTAGTATGTGCTAAAGAGCCTGGCTAGATTCCTGAGCCCGGGGCGTCCAATCCCTTCCTCCCGTGGCCTCTGTGACTACCCCATTCCCTACAGCTAGCAGGGGCATGACAGTAGGGAGAAGAGAGGTAAGGGAGGGAGACATTTGGGGGTTAGGACAGCTGCCCCTGTGCATAGTACCCATCCCTGAGCTGCCACCAGGTCTGCAGAGCTAAGAGCAGGGAAAGGGCTTCTCAGAGGAGCTCTGCTGAGGAACATTTGGCTCTTCTCCAGCCTGGCAAATCAGGCTGCAGGAAGGCCATCTGCACCAAAACTCCAAACTACATGCTCAGAGGAAGAGGTGGCCCTGTCTTCCAGGGCTCCGCTGTTCCTGTTACCCCACCCTGCCCCATGTTGTACCTCCAGCTCCCGCAGCCGGTGCAGAAGCTCCTGGCAGGTGTCTGGTTCCATGCTGCCATCACCACCCTCTCCTGGCCTCGGGTTTCCAGGAGCGCCCGCGGTCTGGTCCATGGCCTCCGACATCAGGCCCTGGGAAAAAGTGAGAGAAGCCCTGGCAGGCTGCCCCAGGGCACAGAGGGAGTGTGTGGGGGGAGGACAAAGGACTCTTCGGTATTACGAGAGTTTGGATCAGTGAGACCTATGTGCCAGGGACACTGTAACAACTCAGGGCCAGGCAGGGCACCTCCTGGTCCGGGGACACATGCACATTTTCCCCATTTTAAGAACAGGGAGCATTGTTTTACAAGCCCCTGCACTTGCACACACAAGGCCATACTGACACCGGGCAAGGAGCTGAGGCCTGAATCCGCCTCTGGGACTGGCCTCAAACCGGCAAGTTATTCAGGCTTCATGTGCCTCAGTCTCCCATTTGCAAAACAACACTGACAGGACCTCTCTCACTCAGCATTGCAAAGATTAGGTCTGTAAACGTGATTGGAAGAAGTTAAAAACAAGGGACCAGCAGTTAAGAGTAATGGCTATGTCGCTGGACTCCCATGTAGTCAACTGCAGTTCGAGTCCCGGACCCGCTGGCTTAAACCCACCCCAAGATCCCGAGAGGAGAATGGAAGAGAAGGGATTGCGGCGTGACCATCCCCTCTGGGGGGTGATTTCTCGCTTTCTGTCTCTCTGTCTCTCTCTGTCTTTCTGGCAAGCACACGCACCCTATAGGAAAAACCTCTCCAAAAAAATAAAAACAAAAAACTACTTAAAGTATGAGACTGTTATGACTCCTCACAGTAACAATTATTGAATTTAACAAGTAAGTCAACCAGGATTTTGTCCTAAAGGTGAATGGGCCCCTGCCTGGGACAGGGACAGGCGTTGGCCTGGCGTGAGCAAGGTGAACACATGAAACTTGCTCAGTTCATTCACTCACTTGGTACCAATGGGTCCTCAGTGTCCTAATTCTGAGAAATGGGCAGAAAGATTCCTTTCTTATAGTGTCCTTGTGAGAGTCAAACGTGACCACCTATGGGACAGCAGCTGGAGGACCAGCCTGCCAAGGTGCTGGCTATGTAACCTGGACCATGGAGGACAGAGGCCCCCGCAGCCCCCACCCATGCAGCTGAATGCATGCCCCTCCCCACCCCTCCCCTCTGGTCCCCATCACCAGCATGCACTCGGTGAAGCCCCCGAGTCCCTCACCCGTCTCTGCCTCCTCGCCCAGGCTGGCACGCTCACTCTAGCATCCAGAACAGCCACCTCGCCTGTGGAGAAACAAGGGCGAACAAGACGGTGTCAGTCGGCACTCTAGGGGCACGAGTGGCCTCTGCTGTGTGCCAGGCACTGGGCCGGAGAGCCCTGCCTTCAGGAAGCCTCCACTGCACTGGATGAGGCCGACGATACTCTACATTGGGTCATGGTATGTTAATGACCCGGGCGATGACAATTAAGCAGAAACCTGAATGAAGTCCTATAATGGGAGAAGCATTTGGGAGCACAGGAAAGACCCAGGGCTAAGGTCCTCAGCTCTGAGCCAGGAATCGGCTGGATAACAGACGAGAGGAGGAGGAGCCCACAGTGTTTCACGACCCTCCACAACATACACTGTCGCCGGTAAGCCTCATAACCACAAAGGGAGTCACATGCTGTTATCAATGCCTGTACTTCAGATGAGGAGACCGAGGAACAGAAGTTATGCTTGCATACATCAAGCGTATCCTGTGTTCTCTGAGTTTCTTTTGCACCCTTATGTCTCATTTTCCTAACGACCTTGGAAGAGGGGCACCAGCCTGGGGGAAGAAGCAGGCACCAGGGCAAGGGACATTCCTCCAGTCAATGGTGGGTTCGCAAAGCACACTGGACAGACCTGGCCTCCCCGCCCATCTGTACACACCCAGGCTGAGCTGTAAGTGCACAGTACAACTCACAGTTAAGCTCCGTATTGTCCCAGGGCTCCTTGTAGGCAGAGCCTGTGTACAGACTTCTGGAGCTTCGCTGCTGAACAGATCTGGGTTAGAATCCTGACTACAGAATCACTTTCCTCGCCTGTAAGATGGGGATAAGTATACTTGGACCAGAGAGTGTCTGGAGGAGGAAATGAGACAATCTGTGTGGAGCGTCTGGCATGCACTCGTACATGAGGCCTTTCATATTAGCGTGTGCTGACCCAAACATAGAGCAGAGCCCTGGGGCTATCAGAGGGCCTGCTGCTACCTAGTTTGATCACACACAGGCAGGTCTGAAGTCTCAGGCCCCTCACCTGGGGTCTTGGCTGTAGGAACCCCTGAAGTTCTCAAAAGGCTCCTAGCCAGCTCTCCAGCCCAAGGGTCAGCCCAGCCTTCATCCTTTTCTGCCTGATACCCCAGAAAGAGAAAGTGGCCAGTTTTTTGTTTGTTTGTTTGTTTTTAAAAATTTTTGCTATAGGGTGCATGTGCTTGCTGAAGAGAGAAAAAGTGAGAACTCACTTCTCCCAGGGGGAAGGCCATGCTGCAATCCTTTCTCCTCTCAGGATTGTGGGCATGCACGTACATGCACCTGGTATGTTTCCAAGCACCCAGGTCCAGGACTTGAACCACAATTTGTCATATGGAATCCAGCTACCTTAACTTCCACGCCAACTGCTGGCCCCAATGGGTAGATGTTTTGAGGCCAGAGGTAACAGTAAAAAGAGAACACTTCTTTGTGTGTGTGTGTGTGTGTGTGTGTGTGTGTGTATCTGATAGTAAGATGGGGACTTCTGAAAACAGAGGAAAAGGAAAAGTGATGTAATACCTATTTTTAACACTCCATAACAATCTTAAGTCTTCTGTTATTTTAACATCATAAAAATTTATCATGTATAACTTGGTTTTCTCATAACATTATCATGGTTGATTATATTTAGAAATGTATAAGCCTGGGGAAAAAAAATGAAAAAGTTCAGGAAATATCTTTCTTCCCACACACAAATTGGGATTAAAACCAAAAAGGGTGCCACGTGGAATTACAGCAGTACGACGGGGGCCCTCGGCAGGAAAGGTCCTGGGCTCGCCTGGAGTCACCCCGGGCATGTGAGGTACACGTGCTCACTCCCAATCAGGCCTGCTAGGGAGGGGGAGGGTGTCAATGATGGTGTAAAGACCTTGGGGGCCCCTGTCTCTACCTGTCCCTCTGTGTGTGTGTGTGTGTGTGTGTGTGTGTGTGTGTCTCATGGAAGAGATAAAAAAACTTTTGTTTTCACAATAAACAAAACTTGCTTCTTAAAAAAAAGAAACGGGAGGGGCCAGCAGGTGGTATGGTTAAAGGCACTGGACTTCCACATGGCCACCCAGTTTGAGTCCCAAATCTGGCGATTTGCACGCTCTCTCTCTCTCTGTCCCTGTCTGATCAAATTAAAATAAATAAATAAATAAATAAATGAATAAAATAATTCTTAAAAAAAAAAAATAGGGGCCAGAAGATGATGTAATGGTTACATTGCTGGACTCCCACGTAGTCTACTGCAGTTTGAGTCCCAAACCCGGCAGCTTAAAACTCATGCTGGGTGTGTGTGAGTGCATGTGCATGCATGCCCCAAATCCTCAGAGAATGGAGAGGAAGGGATTGCGGTGTGGCCATCCCCCTCCCCCCCTCCTCGATGATGATTTCTGTCTCTCTGGTGAGCACATGCATCTGATAGCAAACAAACAAAAAGGCCTCAAGTTTTCCCCACCATTTAACCATTTCCACCTCACCCCACCCCACAACTCTGCTCTACTCCCAGGTTTACATTGTCCAAAAGACCTGTCCCTCTTGAACATTAGTTTTCCTTCAAAGCCCTCATCGCTTATTTCCTCAGTGGAAACTTCCAGGGAGAGAACAAGTTGAGAAGGTGAAGGATAGGAATGGGAGGAACAGGGGTATCCAGGGTTCAGGAACAGATAATGACAAAGCTGTGAGAAGCCCAAGGTTTTGTGTTCCTCACACAAAAAAAGAAACCAAGGATGTGGATGGTTTAGTAGATATTTTGTCCTTGAAAAATAAAACAGTATTCCGGTTAGGAGCAAGGCCCAGACTGTGAGGACTGGCTGAGGACCGTGTCTGAGTGCACGTGGTGGTTTTGTGCTGAAGAGGGTGGAGACCCAGTACACCCACAAAGCCAAATGCTGCCTCCCTCCAAATCGGAGCTCCTCGGGATCCCAGGGCAGGGAGGCCAGAGCCCACTGGGAACTGGGAACTGGGGAGCGCTTCCAACGCACAAGCCACCCCAGGGTAACGGTTCCTTTATGTGCCTCCGCCAGAGCCCGAGTAGCTCAGGAAACACTGGCTGCAAAAGGCTGTGACTCAGCCTCACTGTGGGAGGAAGCTTCTGCCCTGGCACCTCGGTGGTCTGGCCCAGCTCAGGACAGGGGCCTTGCCTGCATCTACAGGGCTGCCAGTCTTGCCTGCTGAGGAGTCACAGGGAAGACACCTGCATTGAAACGTGTGGTGGGCTGCCATGTGAGGGCTCAGCCTGACTTCCAGATTCTGAGAGAACACTTCCTGTGTCCATACCCTCCTCTATAGAATATGGAGACCCGGAGGGATACCACCACTTCTGGCCCCCAATCTGAGCCTAATCAGGAATCTGACCAGATGGGTGTCTGGGTTTTCTGCTAAATCTCATGGAAAAAAGCCAACCTGGGTCAGGGCTGGCAGGTGGTGTGGTTAAGGGTGTTTGGACTCCCACATGGCCGACCACGGTTCGAGTCCCAGACCTGCAGGCTTGCTTTCTCACTTTCTCTCTCTTTTTCTCTCACTCTGTCCCTCTCTGGTCAAATTCAAATAAACAAATAAATGGATAAATAAAGTTAAATAAAACAACTCTTTAAAAAAAAAAAGAGAAAGTCAACCCAGGTCAGCTTCCCAGGGCCTGTCCCTGCGGTGTAGCAGTGAACCTCTCCCACCCCAGGGGCCACACAGCACCCTCCTCCTCCTCCCTCATCCCAGAGTCCTTCTACTCACAGCCTCTGTGCTCAGCCTGACCCAGGGCCCGGGAAAACCGCAGGCCTGGGTTTTCCAGGACGGCCCAGGCTTCAGACATTCCTCTGGCGGCCCCAAAACGTATCTGGGGAGTGGGGTCTTGTGCACTGAGGCCGGCCAGCCTGGGCAGGGATAGAGCGCCAGGGTCGGGAACTCTAACTTGAACTGGAGGCTTCTCCCGCCAGGCGGCCAACGGGAGGCCCCTCCCCCCACAAAGGCCTGATTCAGAGGGAGGTGACCTCAGTGCCGGAGGGGAGGGAGGGAAGAGGAGGGGAGGGAGAGCGAAGCCCTTTCTGGCTGTCCTTCGGAGGAGGTGGGGGACAGCTGTTAGGCAGCCAGGGACAAGGAAGGCAGAAACTGCTGCTCGGGGTCTCTGGGTGACCCGGAGAAACAAGGTGACCACCCTCTGCAGCTACTCAGTCATGGAGGGCCCAGTTCCTCCTTCCCCGTTAAAGCCAGGAAGTGACAAGGGCTTCCAGAGGCGTGGGGTGTGCAGCCCCCAGCGGTCTCCTGCAAGGGCACAGGCAAGACCCCTCCCTGAACTTGGAGTCCCGACCCCAGAGGTGGAGGAGGCGGGGCCTCCACCCGCTCTCAGCCCCGCCTCCGCCTCCGCCTTCTGGCCCAGGGTGAGCCCCTCACTCACCAGCTGTTCCCCCCAGAGTCCTCTAGGGAGGAAAGCCAGGGCCTAGGCGGGGGGAGGGGCGGGCAGCTGTGGGAAGGCGAGATGGAGGAGCTCACTTTAATCACAGAATCATCCGGAACACCCACCAATGCCTCCCCTCTCCAGCTGCCTTCTGGAATCCTTTTACCAGTCCCAGCCCGTCTCACCCAGGAGTCCACTTGTAAACAGCAGTTTCTGCACCCACAGCAAACACCCTTTCCAGCCAGGAGGAGCCCTGGCTGACATGGAGGGTGGGGTGAGGAGGAATCTAAGGACAGAGGCCTGCCTCCCAGGGCCCTCCTGGCCAGAACTGGCCACTTAATCCCTGGCCCAAAGCATCTTTCAGCCCCGAGAATTCCAACTTGCCTTCGCCCCACCTCAGAGAAAGAAGGCAGACATTAATTTCCTTCTCTCCTGACAACTGGCAGCAGAGACACAACAGCCCTCCAGAGGCATCTGTCCTTGGGGAAGGACCTACTGCACCAACCCCCCACTTCCTCCTCATAGGCAGGCACTCCAAGAACCTCCACTACCATGCAGGGCAGGGGACGGGCAGTTGTGCAAAAGTCTTCCTGATTTCAATATCCCTGACTCTCCTCCCGTGGAGCCCTCCTGTTCCCTGCCCACAGTGTAACCCAACAACAAAAATAGCAGCTGCTAGGGTGGGAAGAGGGAAGGGGTTCCAACACAATGGGTTTATTTATAGGACCACATACCAGGGGCTCTGCAGTCCCGCAGCCCGGGCCCCACTCCCAAGTCCAGCCAGATCTATCCTGCTCCAGCCAAGGGTACTGGAAAACGCCTCAGACCAGAAGGCACAAACTTGACCAGAAGGCACAAACTTAAGAGTCTCATCTTTACAATGAACTTACGTGCTGTGTGACTTAAGGTGAATCGCTTAGCTTCTCACCAATGGAGACTGTTCTCAAAGTGTGGCCTGGGAACCCTGAGGCCCTCACAAAGGATCCGTAAGGTCAAAACTGTTTTCACAATACTGCTAAGATATTCTGTGCCTTTATCACTGTCATTCTCTCATGGGTATACAGTGACATTTTCCAGGGAGTGTTATGTGATATCACAACAGATTGAACACAGAAGCAGATAGAGAATCCAGCTGCCTTCTGCAAGTCAGACACGTTACATTTGCAAACATAAAGGTCAATGACTTTTTTTCACTATTTCGTTTGCTTGTTTGGGAAGACATAATTATTTTCAAAAATCATGATATGTAAAGGGTTTACTAATTAATTAATTTATTTAAGTTCACTATAGGGTGTGTGCACTGGCCGGAGAGAGGACGAGAGGGAGAGAGAGAAAGTGAGAAATCACCCCCATGGGGAGATGGCCATGCCACAGTCTTTTCTCCTCCATTCTCCTCTTGGGATGTTGGGCATGCACACATATTTGCCCAGCATGTTTTTCAAGCTAGGTCAGGACTCGGAACACGCAGTCATACGAAATCCAGCCTTAGCCATCATGCCACCAGACTAGCCTATTATTGTTATTTTTAAATGAATTAAATAAATATTTAAAACTTTCATTTTTAACTTATAATACAATAAATGTCAATAAGTATAACATAGCAAAAAAGCTCTTTGGGGACTTTTTAAGAGTGTGGATGGGGGCCAGCAGGTGGCATGGTGGTTAAGGGCGCTGGACTCCCACATGGCCACCACAGTTCGAGTCCTGGACCTAGTGGCTTGTTTTCTCACTCCCCTCCCCCCCCCTTGCCCCCCCTTGCCTTTTTTTTTTTTTTTTTTCTTTTGAGAGGTTTTTGCCATAGGGTACGTGCGCTCACCAGGAAGATAGAGAGAGACAGAGAGACAGAAAGCAAGAAATCACATCCCCAGGATGGATGGCCATGCTGCAATCCCTTCTCCTCCATTTTCCTCTCAGGATCCTGGGCACACACGCACATACACACAGCTTGGCTTTAAGCCACCAGGTCTGAGACTTGAACTGTGGTCGACTACATGGGAGTCCAGTGACCTAGCCATTACACCAACTGCTGGTCCCTCTCTCACTCTCTTGTTCTGACCCTCTATGGTCAAATTGAAATAAATAAATAAAGTTAAATAAAATAATTCTTTAAAAAAAAGTGGTTCTCAAACTTTTTGACAAAAGGTCCCCTCCACATGCTTTTCTTTTTTAAAAAAGAATGATCTTATTTAACTTTATTTATTTATTTATCTTAATTTGACCAGAGAGGGACAAAGCAAGAGTGAGAGAGAGGGAGAGAGAGAGAGAGAGAAGAGAGAGAGAGAAGAGAGAGAGAGAGAAGAGAGAGAGAGAAAAAGTGAGAAAGCAAGCTGCCAGGTCTGAGACCTGAGCCACTGTCAGCCATGTGGGAGTCCAATGCTCCTAACCACCATGCCACCTGCCAGCCCCAAGAATCACTTTTTTAAAAATGTATTTATTTATTTTATTTTATCTGTTATTATTATTATTATTTATGTTTTAATTTTACCCGAGAAAGAGAGAGAGAAAGTGAGAAAGCAAGCCGACAGGTCTAGGACTTGAACTGCAGTCGGTCATGTGGGAGTCTAGCATCTTAACTACCACACCACCTGCCAGCCCCGAGAATCACTTTTCTAGAACAGTGCTGTCTAGTAGAACTTTCTGTAATGATGAAAACAATTAGTCTGTGCTGTCTAAATGGTAGCCACAGGTACACGTGGCTGTTAGGTACTTGAACTGGTTCAGAGCCAGTCAGGTGGCATGGTGGTTAAGGTGGCTGGATCCCAAATGGCTGACTGTGTGGTTCAAGTTTGGACCTGGTGGCTTGGAAAATATGCTGTGTGTGTGTGTGTGTGTGTGTGTGTGTGTATGCATGCCCAGAATCCTGAACAGAAGCAGAGATGGAGGAGAAGAGACTGTGGCGTGCCCATTCCCCGTGGAGGAGTTTTCTCTTGGCCTTCTCTCTCTATCTCTCTGTCTCTCTGGTGAGGATGCTCACCCTCTGGCAAACTAAAAAAACAATTGGACGCTAGAGCTGGGCAGTGTGGGGCTTCCACAAGCTACGTAACTCCCCTTCTCAGTTTCCTCATTCGTATGTTGGGGACAGAAATGGGCTCAGCCTCCTAGGCCAGGTGTGGGAAGAAGCGCGAAGGTCTGCGGAAGGCCTCACACGGCACCTGGCACACAGTCAGCCCACAGGAAATGCCAGCGCACAGCTTGCCGCCGGGCTGCAGTCAGCACAAGGGAGTGCGAGGCGGAAGAGGCTGGAGCCGCA